CTCGCTGTTCTGAATAAAAATCTTAATTAATTAATAAATCTTGGCAGCACCACCATTCCTGACTGACAAAAAACAGGACAATGAAGCCCACAGATGGCAGTGAGGAACAGTGTCTCTGTGTGTAAGCTGATAAGTCATGCACTGATGAGTCCATTTCTTAATTGCAATGAAAACTCATTTTCAAATCGGGCTGAAGAGGTAGGGTTATTAATTGATCTTTTAATTAAAAAGCCTGCGTACTCTTGGCAAACAATAGTTTGTTGCTAAATAAATCATATTCAGTCCTTAAGCACACCAATTAATCATTAGTAGCCACATGAGGATTACTAAGGGCGCACGACCCAGTGAAGCCCTTTACATTAAGGTGTGATGGTTTCTGAATAAACCCTGTCCATTAATATTACATGGAGAGAAGGTCAAACATTGTATTGATCGTTAAACATGCTTGTTTGTATGCACTTTATACAGATGTACAATATGTATCATCTTTGTTTTGACGATGACTTCTACATAATGCAGGTGTTAATTGAAGTGGGTTCGTGATCGACCCTCAACTAGCCATTTGTCACCCATCACGCATTTTTCAGCTGTGCATGGGCTATTCCTGGACCCTACCCCTTACCCCCATCTGGTAGAATCACCACAACTCGAGACATGATTTACAACCTCAACACAGCATTCCCCAGACACTAAATTACCTGGATTATTGGGCCTTCATGATTTTTAGTGCAGTACTTTGCATTACTCTCCAAATCCTGATGGTGTATTGCACAATATATGATGATTTAGCACATGCCAACATGTTGAAATTGGAATTATTGGATTGGACTGGATTTTATGGGTGCTATCTGTCTTAAAGGATCTCCCTGCCAGGATCTAAATTGGAAAGACTTGATATTATTGATATGCATATAAAATCAGAGCATTTGGACCACCTACAAAATCATGGGGGGGTGTTTATATTCCAAAATGTTCCAGAAGTTGAATGACTTTAGTGGTAATGGAGACCAAATAACTTTTGAATTATCCTAATTTGTTAGAATTTTGTAGTGAAGTCAGACATGAGCCAAGAGATAAATCCTCCTTAGTTACACAACCAGGAAGAAAGACCTTGAGTGCTAATGCTGTATGTTGATCAAGAACATCATTTTATACATGTAAATTATTTATTGATTTCTGTTCAATCTAATTTGCTAGTCAGGAATGTATAGAATTTCAATTAGTGGACAGTAATCCGAGTTATCTGTAAGAATATAAAAAGGAAATTCCTTTGAGCCTAATGAGGAAAGCTGTTATCTTCTTGGCAAAAAAACGCATAAAAAATAAAAGGGAACACATCAAAAATGCTTCCTCTTCCAAAAAGAACAACAACTACATGACAGCAGCAAATTTAGACAGGCCTTTTGGCAGTGGTTTTGTGTACTCACTTTTAACATGAGAGACAGTGGCTCTGGGAGCAAGGTTTCAAGTATTGACACACCTGCCTGGGCCGCCATGTCCACTGTCCAAGTAACTGTACAGCCGGACAGCCGAGTCACCCTGCTGCTTTCAGAGGCTTCAGATAATCAATGGCAGCACAATGACACCAATGGAGGATTACAAGTATTCACTAAGCCTCTGTCAGTGGGCACACTGCATTGATTTTTTCATACTTGCTATTGGCTGATATTTCTGTGCTCAGGAGCACTTTCACAATTTTCTCTCCGTGTTCCCTCCTTTTTTCATGAAGAATTGTACAGCGTTTCTCCAGACGACATTGTCAAATGCTAACACTTGCAAGCTTTAGTGTTCCTTTGATTCCTTGCAGCAGGTTGTTGTAGCTCTTTTGTAAAGACGCTCAAGTGGCCAACAACTTTTTTTCAGGCTTACTTCATGATTTGGTTGTTAATGCAAAAGGTGCCTTGTCCTACCTTCACAACAGGAACACCTCTATCATGAACACCTATGCACTTAAAGGTCCCATATTATGCTTTTTCTGGTTTTATATGCTCTTTAGTGTGTTTTCCAAGTGTCCTGTGCATGTTTAGGCACATCTATGCGCAAAAATTCAAAGTCCGCGGAAATGCAGCTTCTCCTACGTCCTCCTGTTAGCTGTAGCATTAGCTGCATGTAACGCTCGGTTCTAGCCCCCCTCGATAAAAAATTGTCAGTCCGACGTCACTGTCAGTGTGAGATCACTGATCTAAGCCCATTGGCTCGTTGTGGCAAGCCCAGCAACTCATGTTGCACACCCGTTAACTTCTGTAGCACGCCCACGATATGCCGTAGCCTGCGGTAGCACAGTAGTGCTAAGGTGCTAATGTTTTTGCTCCCCTCGGACGGAGCCAGTGGCTGCATTCCCAATATGGTAAAAGAGGTGGGACATTTCCGAGAACCGTGCTGAGCAACTGACCAATTACGGCAGAGCCGACAGGCCGACCAATCAGATCAGACTTGGCACACGTGGGGACTCTGAGCATGGGCACTTCAGAGCCTTAGAGAGAGAGTCAGAAGTGAGCCGGTGCATGGAGCGGCAGTACATGAAAACAAACGCTTTTTTCAAAGTTTAGCTATTGTGTACATACTTTAGTAGGTACATAGATTAAATATATGAACCCCAAAAGGGCATGATATGGGCTCTTTAATGATGTTATGATACTGATGGGACTGACAATGATGATGATGAATATATTGAGGATGGTGTTAATGTTAATCAGAATTTTCATGAGAAGCTGTCGATGTTGTTGATGGGGATGAATATTTAAAAAAAAAGACAGCATTGCCCCTGCCCACTGCCTACATTTCTTACTAACAATGTTTCCTCCTGTCTAGATCCTTGATTGTGTTGTACTTACTCTCTGATGTACTTCACTTTGGACAAAAGCGTCTGCTAAATGAATTGTAGAATTGTAATGCTTGCTGTGGTTAAAATGGATGCAGATCTAAATAAATTTGTGAAATCAAACAGATTTTTAAAGTTTCTGATGGAAGATTGTTTTGGAAAAGTGCTCTTAGTCTGAATAGGTGCATTTCATAGAAACAAGTGCACAGATACTGTATACACACACACACACACACACACACACACACACACACACACACACACAGCCAGCACAGACATCCAGTCAAGGTCTACTAATACCCCCCAGCATGGCATCCAACATTTCATACAGTGATAAATGAACAGGAAAAGCCCTAGCACAACCCATTGCTCGATTTGCTCGCACAAGTCCTTCGGATTATTCAACCCAGCCATGGAAGACGGAAAATAACACTATAATTGGCACACACATGCAAGGTCTAGTAAATCTACATACACCAGTCATACCATCGGGCTCATTAGGATGCAGCAAAAGGTTGGTGGAAGGGCATCCATCATCACAGAGTGCTCTGTCACCTCAGCACGCCTCTCTTACATGATCATACGCCTCATGTACAAGTGCTCACATGTATCTTTTTCACCTTGCACAGATCTCTTGCGCCCACCTCATCTATCTATCTATGTGGATTCTCACAGGTTGGCAGAGAGCCCCCGCATACAGTGGGCCCATAATGAAGCATTGTCTTCATTAAAATGAAGCCAAGATATTTTCGATCTCTCTTCGTAGAAAAATACAAATATGTGCAATAATGAAGCACGCTGCTATCCCTGCTCATGAAATACACATCTCTTTCAGCAGGATCAACTATTCAGACATTTTCTTTGAATAAATTGGTAATTGTGGACAGTTTGGTCAGTATCCTGGTGATTGAGTTGTCCAAAGCTGCATATGTCCATGTTGAGGTCATCCATTAAGAACATCTCCAAATGCATTGGAAGTAAAGGTTTGCAGGCGCTTGGCCAAGCCTTCCACTGGATTCAGGTTGCAGCTATGACTGACAGCTTGCTCTTAAAGGCTCATTGTCAGGAATATAAATAGTCTGCATCTCACTTTCAGACATAGCAGGGCAATTTACTGCTAGCTGCAGCCCTGACCGTAACAGTGTGGTCTTTTTCCATTTTTCAAAGGCTTTTAATCAGAATCTGTTTGACTGGCACAAAGTAATTTTGCTTGTTTTGTGTGTCAGATGGCTGTGGATCTGATTGTTTGTTTAGAACAGTTTCATTATTTGTCTGGATTTTGGGAGTAAAGCCAAGTTTATACAACACACAATGTTAGATTGAGCCCTCTGCCTTATTATGATTGTTGTTTCCTGTTTTCTTGTCTGTGCTGATTAAAAAAGGGAGACAGGAAACCAGACATGTCAATACGTTTGGGTATGAACCCCTGTCTGCCTTCAGTTTTATAAAGGACAGTGCTACTTACAGTGGCCATTACTTTCCTTAAGCTTTATAGCGAGTCAATATAAAGTTTAGGCATTCAGCATTACACTGATATTGGACAATAATTACAAATGTAATAACAAAAACATTTTATTCCTTTTATGTGCCTGACGGATTGACTGGATTTAGATGGGTTTTTTTGTCTTGCCGGTTTGGCCCGACCACATATTGTGTCCAACAAAATGCCATTGTTGTAAGTCTATTTAACTTCAATTATTAGTTTCATTTCTTTCAGGTTGTGTTACTAAGAGCAGGGTAAATATTTGAAGAACAAAAGGTCTGGGATGCTGCAGAAACAGTCCATATGTAAAGCTGCCTTCACAACACTGGCAAAGAGATTTACACCACATTTCAGCACATGAAAGGAGCCTCATTTTGCATTCACATAACCTTCCTGTTCCTCTGAGTCTTTGAACTTCCATTAAGCCATTTATCACCATGCAGTGCAATTCATTTCATTTTTCCAACATCGAGCATGGATGCCCTCTCCCCTCCCCAACTGCAGACCCTGACTGTTGACTTTACAGTATGTCCAGGATGTCAGGTGCAGTCAATCTCAACCACTTGTTCTCCAGTTTACTTTGTCCTGCTATCATTTAAACTTTTTTCTTTAGTTTGTCCTCGTTCTGGTGTTAACACTGATGTTTTTTTTCTGAGTGCTAACATTACTTATATCTTTGTGGTTTTTTTTTTGTAGTTGCTCCATCTATCCATGAGATGAAAAGCCATGGAGTTGGACTGGGACGCACAGCTCTGCTGAGGTGTGAAGCAGCCGCTGTGCCCTCCCCGACATTCGAGTGGTACAAGGGCGAGAAAAGGTGAGCACAGTTTTATTCTATGAAGTGTCTTGATGAAGTTTTTTGGCAGCATCAAGTGGATGTCCTGCATCACAGTTTAGTTGCAGAGCTTTTGCAAGGCTCATCAACGTAGTTTTATTTTAAGGAGCATAACAGGAATTTCAGTTTTAAACTGAGGTGCATGAAGGTGGGAGGTTAGACTCTGTTTAAATGAACCAGGTCAGTTCTTGTTTGTTGACAATATTGAATGAAACTGTTATCTTAAGGCAGGCCTATTCAACTGGCGGCCCAGGGGCCAACCCAGGCCCGCAGAGGACATCAGACTGGCCCGCGGAGAAGTTCTATTTACAATTAAAAAATAAATAATAAACAGGGGAAAACTTGTGAATGACTGTCATTGTTGCCACAGTAAAGTGTTCAAAACAGCAGAGTGCTCCGGTTTAATAGAACATCTTTGGTCCTGTGCTCGCAGCCTATCACAAGCTTGTGTTGTTGATGGGGAAAAAAATGGCTTTGTGCACTGTACTGCTGTGGTGGGCTGGCTTGTCTGGCCCCCGGGTCCTTGGCTTTCTGAGATTTTGGCCCCCTGAACAATATAGTTGAATAGCTCTTTCTTAAGGGGTTTTTTTTTTGGTTTGCTTTTGTTTGTTCTAGCATTCGTCTGCCCCTGCTGGGTGTTCCAGTTAGAATCATTTTTTGCCTTGTCCTCTCGCGGCATCCTCATAAAACGTCTGCTGGCGACTGGCTGAAATCATTCGTGTAACATACATCAATCAGTCTAGATTCAAGTGTCAGTTCTTGAATTTGAATCCAAATTACCCCCATTACCCACTCCTAGTGAGCACAATTTCAATCATCAGCTCACACTGTGCTAATTGTAATTATGGGGTGGATTCAATTTATTCAAATTGCTAAGGAGGCAAGTTGGCATGGTTTTAGTCTTTACTTAATTCAAGGACTTGTTTTTTTCATGACTTCTTACATAGCTTAATGGTGGTTCCTTCATTTTCATCATGAAAAGGACATTAGAATAAGAAACTTTAGCACAGACCATGTGTAGCATCTGTGGAAGATTAACACTGGCTGTGAGTCCCGTCAGTGCTGTGCTGCTGCCAGTTTGTCTGTTTCATAAGAAGTCTGACAGTTTTGACAAGCAAATGTTTCTCTTGATGTGTCACTTCTTTCATTCTTCAATAAAGGTGGTTACGTTTTTTTTTTGTGTGTGTGTGTGTGTCTGTACTAGAGGGAGCGTTTTTTCCCCCCACTATGACAGAGGGGGAGCATTGACTATTTTGATGTTGAACTAGTGTAGAGGCGAGACACCCGCCGATGTTATCAGTGAATGTTCAGCTAACATTTGACGTGGGCACCATGGGAGAAGGGACAACAGATTTGTGGATATTTGCTGGACATAATGTCACACATAGTGTTTTAACTCAGAGCGCCTCGCTGAACAACTCGAGCCAAGCTAGAGATCACGGGAGGGGGCCAAAGCAAAGCCAAGATAGAAACATGCCTTCTCTCTGGAGGTTTATAAAGCCAAATGTGAATCTGAAGCAGTAACAGAAACCTCTCTGATGAAAACAGTAAGCTGTAATGGGTATAAAATTTGGCGCACAGCATATGTTGTTACAGAGTGAATTTTAATCCCTGCAGGCTGTTAGAGATCATCACTGTCAACCAAAGTAAACAGTTAAATATTTGTCAATTTCACAGCACAGATGCTAGGCACAACTGGAATAGGATTTATCGTAATCCTCCCCGCACCTGCAACAAAACGATGAACAACATGTCAAGTGGCACCCAGCTGGTTCACCCCTGGGTCATTCCACTCTCTTCTCAGTACTTTCAAAGTGTCTCTCCAAGGCAGACACGACACACCAAGGGACAAATAGATCTGTTGAAGAGGGTGATGAAGTACTGTACAATCTGAAGATCCACTAAAGGATGACAAACATTTGTTACCTTCCCTGACTCAGTGCAGTGTCACCTCCTGACACTTTGTGTGCGTGGGTGCGAAGGAAAATCTTCATTTGTTGTGTTCTGCTTGCAGGATTATCAAGGGTCAAAGCATCGACATCAAGAGCCTCAGCTCCAGATCAGTCCTCACAGTAACCAACATGACAGAGGATCGTTACGGGAACTACACATGTGTCGCCTCCAACAAGCTGGGGACGGCTAATGCCAGCGTGCCTCTCATTCGTAAGTTGTCATTCTATGTGCTTGTGGCTAAACAGAGTGGTGGAGAGCGGACTGAAAGAGTTGTGGGTGAATGTCCGTGGGCAATGGTGCCCTCAGAAGTGTCTACTTTTTTTTTTTTGCATCAGCACCCTTGACACTGGATAAAAGCTAAAGTTAAGCCCAGTGCTGCAACTGGGTGCCCACATATCACCAGTTTAAGTGGTTTCTTATTCCCTAGTCATCAGTTTTGTGAATTTCGATTGTCTGCTATAGTTGTATGTGAGTGAGTGAGTGAGTGAGTGAGTCAGTGGGTGGGTGGGTGTCTGCTTTTACAGTATACATTTGCATGTGTACAGAGCCTGAAAAAGAAATTAAGGTTTAAAGCAGCAGCCATGTCAGCAATGTTTAGTTGAATGCCAAGTAGAGGAATGACTCAGATTTTAAAGAGGTCTGAGAGTCAGCCCTTTTATGGCTTTTAATACCTTGAGGCATCTAACAGATCTCCAAAGAAGCAAAATATTTCGAGGCTTTTGGTGTATCTGTGATGGACTGTAGAATTGCTGTTTGTTTGTGGTGAAGCATTCTGTATACATTTAGGTTCTGGGTGGGGTGGGGGGGGATAGCAGGACCTCTAGGGGTGTCAACAAAGTGAGGCATTTATGGGATGTCAGTGAGGGATCACTTTCATGTTACTGCATGTTCCTTTTGTGTGGGAGATAGTGGCAGCATTTTGGCCCCCTGTTGAGGGCAAGTGGACTCCATGTCTATTTGAGGAAGCATCATACAGCCTTTATTTACTGCATCAGCAGAGGAAACAGTCAAAACGACTGCAATATGATGGGTGTTGAAAATTGTGGAGAAAACCTGAACAACTCTGTTTCATAACGTAAGCAAAAACAAGTTATTTAAGATTCATCCTTACACACACTCATTTAGAAGCCCATGCCGAGAGCTTACAAAGCAACCAGGACATAGAGCCATGATGACTGACGTTGTGTTGGCTAATGAAATCATCTAAACATTAAGACATGTTGCCTACTGCTGCAGAGACTGTAGGGGAATATTTGCACTATATACACAAAGTGCTGGGCAATTAATCAAGTTTCGATTTCAATTACCACTCATGCAGTATTGCCTCCTGATGAACATGAAAACGAGATAATCGAGATCAAACGATTACTGTGCTGCATGCGGTCTTGCACTTGTCTTGTCAATAGGTTTTGTCATGTGTGGTAAATATTTTGGCCACAAGGGTACATCACCACTACCTCGAAAACACAGTTAATCATTTGTATTTATTCATTGATTATTATATATTATTATTATTCATGTTCATTTATTGCTTGTTTTTTAGTGTTCAGAATGTTAAAGTGTTTAATTTAAGTGTTTTAATTTTGATAAATGCATGTGATGCAGATGTTCTTTAAAATCAATGGGTACTCTTGTTTAATAACCATGAGCTTATTATATATCAACATAATTGTGATTATGTTTTTTTTGCCATAACCGAGCAGCTCAAATATACCATAGTTCTAATAGTGGTAAAGTCCTAGAATCAATCAATCTTTATTTGTATAGCGCCGATCATAAGACATTTACAAAAAGCATTTTAGTTATTGCTATATTATCTTCAGAGACCCAACGTTAATCCAGCATAAACACAGCACGAAGCAACATTTAGCGAAGTTCCAGTAGCAATTCCTTGAAGCAGAAATCTTGGGCAAAACCAGACCTGAAGCCTTCCCCAACAAGACGCATGGTAAACCTCAGCCAGTACAACTCAGTAGTAAAAACAGTGTTAGTTCAGGATTTTAATGGATGGTTCAAGTTTTTTGTGATGATTCTAAACATATTATATACATTTTAGGGCAGGCATGTCAAAACACAGAAATGATCAAAGTGTCTTAAATATTCCTTCAGGCTGATTTCCTCTGAGGTTCTCTACATCCATCTGGTAAATGAACAGACAATGAGTACAAGGCCTTTTAGATCATGGTGCACAAACAAGGTTACAAAAGACAGTTTTCCCTCCTAAATGTAGAATTGCGTTCCATTTTCCTGAGCCGTGTACTGTACTTGTTGGTGGGCGCTTGATATTCCTTCACCGTGAGGCATTTCTCGCTGTACCTGCCAGGCAGCAAGGAAAGCAATGACAGCGAGGGATCGGTGGAACATATTTTCCTCACTGTTTTTGAGCGAGTGCGGATAAAAGACAAATTAATTTGAATATATTCTGTGATGAAATATGAACAGGTGAGTTAAATAATTCATCGCTTTGCGCTGCACCGTCTGATGATAACATTGTTCCTAGCAGGCCAGAGATTCTAAATACAAAAAAGATATTTCTGTAGAGTTGGCAATTGTCAAAGGAGCACCCTGCTCTCCTGTTTGTGTATGCACAAAGAACATCAAAGGCTTGTCTCAGATCCTCAAAATGGATGATCTTAATGTGACACTAGCGAGGCCTCAAAGGCAGAGCGGCAAAGAATCCCTCAGAACAGTCAGAGGAGGCAGCTTCCTGTGCTTCCAACCCCAACTTCTCTCTCTCTCTCTCTCTCTCTCTCTCTCTCTGTCTCATCTGTTCCCTCTCTTTATTTCTTTGTCTGTCTTTCTATCGTGGCTTTGTCTCTCTGATTCTCTTATCTCACTCTCTTACTCTCCCAGTCTTTTGCCCCCCCCCCGTCTCTCATTTCTTCCTCTTTATCACTCTCTCTCTCACACACTCATCAAACGTCTCGTTCCCTTTCCCTCTCCCTCTCCCTCTCTCTCTCTCTCTCTCATGTTCTCCCCTCAATGGAGAAGAGGCCAATTTTGCTGTCACTATTACCGAGAATAGGCAAGCAATCGCCGCAGCGCACTTTCACCAGCACGTTGATGCAAATAACAAAACCCAGAGGTTAGATTTCACCATGGGTGACTTTGTATTGCTATTTTAGAACCAGTCGATAGCTATTGATGAGCAGGATGGGAAAGGGGAAAGGGGCATGCATATTTGATAGAGCGTCATAGTTGAGTTGAATTTTAAGTAGCAACACAATGTGGGTGGTTTGCAGCAAAAGAATCGAGAATTACAGTAATGCAGATACAGTAGTAATTCTGTTTCTGTCCATCACACCATGCATCAGTAATCGTATGCATTCATTAGGTCAAGTAAGGGTCATCGCTGTTCAAAGAGACTGCTGAAATTACAGCAGCTGAGGGGGGAAAAAGGAATACTTAGCATTCAGGTCTCAGTTTCATTAGTTTCTGGTCAACTTTGTGAAGTTGAGAGGTGCTTATCCTTTTTCAGTGTAACTCCTTTTTTCTTCTTCACCTAACAGAGCCACTCTAAATCAGTCCAGGAAAAGGTTTGCCATTATGGCTGATGAGATGAACTGTGACTGCGGAGAGGCTTCTCCCTGGAAAAGTAAACACATCTGCCTCCCATCCAGTCTGGTTTCTGTTTCAAATTAAAAACCGACTTTAGCAGCCTGGCTTTGATGACATGATAACTATGAAGGATTTGATTCATTCCTGTACTTTTGGAATAAGTGTCGCCTGGCTGTATGCTGTTGTGGCTCTTGGGATCCGATGGTTCTAGTTGTGTTAAATCATGGGTGGGTTTTTGTGCTGTTAAACCATTAGTCAGGGATTGTGATCTCTCTCAGTTAAGTAGCACTTTAAGCACTGTGTTTAAAGCGTGTGGTAAAACACAAACTGGGCTCTTTGGAGCAGGAAGAAAGCATATAACCGCAGTACTTGGTGGATTACTCTGAGTGTGAATGTGTGTGTTTCTATGTGTGTGTCTGTGAACAATTATTGTACAAATAATAGGTTTTTTTCTTAACAACACAATACCCAGTATCATCAGAGAATGAACAAAAAATATTGTGCAAACGCACTTGTCACACTTGTCTGTCCTTTCAACAATTGCTAAGTCACAGAGGTGTAATGAATGGGACTGGATAATAGGCTTGAATGGTGGCAAAGAAATCCTCAGAAATATCTGTGGAGAGGTTTTTTGTGTTTCTATAGATGTTTGTTTAATTGATTCAAACTCAACCAGAGTGCAGTGGGTGTTGTGATTTATTTTCAATTTGTTAGATTTAATCTGCAGACAGGCTTTCTCTCAATAATTTCACTGTAAAAACAACAAAGTAATCACAATTAATTTGAATGAGCTCTGTAGAAAAATTATATCTTTAATGGTATTTTGGCAGTTTGTATTAGCAGTTTTACCAAATCAAAGCAGAAAGACTCAAATGAAAGCTGCAGAGTGTGTAACTGGACCAATGCATTTTCTCTTTAGGTAATAAAGATGTCAGTTCAACAGGAGTGAGACAAAAGGCATACACTATAAAAGGATTTGTTTAGTCTTTTTTATTAAAATAGGGACTGTGCATATTAATGTATAACCATTGCCATGAACCCAGCACAGATATTCAAGTCAGCATGTCAAATATATATGATAGTCCATATGATGATGTCCACAAGTTTATGAACCGTTAGTGCTGACTTTGCAAATGTTGCTTTGGCATTTGCAAAGCCAGTATGCTGATTTAACTTTTACTTCCTTATAAAATAAAAAAATAGCGATGAGCAACAACTACACTAAAACATGAGCATCTGTGTAAACAAGCAACACATAAAATTTGCCCTTAACTGAGGCAACAAAGTTATCTTGAAGGACAGCTGTTCTGTCTTTTTATTCATTAGGGTTAAATCTTGCATATGGGAAAAGTTATTGAAAGAAGAAATGCAAAGGACATGATGACAAAAAGAAGCTGCTTCTTCCACATCCAAAACCCTTTTCAGATCGGAGAGATAAGTGCTTACACACCGCACGCAGAAAATATGTAGTGATAGTGTTTGATAAACTAGTTATTAATGAAGATTGCCTGCTATTCCCCCAACAAAGACACAAACTTGCTAACGTGTGCTTTAAATTCTGTTCTGAAGTTCGTCACTGTAATCTGTATTTAATTCTGTCTACCAAGACTGGGCCCTTCAAGGTTGTTTAACATCACAAAACGCTGTTCTGAAGGTATCTCCGCATTCCTCAGGCTCTTCAAATCATCTTGGTAAAAAACATATCCAGACATTGCACAATTCTAGTTATATGAGAACATTTTGAAGTAAAGGTGTGCATCTTTATTCTTAACTAAATCCAAGATGGTTGTCAGAGAGGCATATCTCACCCTGATAGTATATACTAGATACTTTTAACAGCTCTGTGACTTTAATTTAAAGGTAAAACATAGGGTTTCCCCTCGGGCTACTGCTGATCCACCTATAATATGACATTATCCTTTTAATGGAGGTACATGGAGAACTTTGCTGAATAAGACAATACAGAAGAAGCGTACCTTTAATTTCAATGCAGCCTACCAAAGCATCAGAGCAGGATGTGTTTTTGACAGTCTCTCATTGAGCTTACACTATATGTACACCACACACCCACACCTTTAGCTGAGGTATAACAATTGCCCAACTGGCAATCCCTATTTCAACTTCCCATTTCATGTTCAAGATGAGAGTGAACTTGAAGAAAAAGACTAAGGCTGTTCACTGCAATTTTCTGAGGAGTCCTCCAGCTTAATTGGTCAAGCTCTTATCCCCCCCCTCCAGCCCACCTCGGCTTAGCACTGAAGCAGATTTTCTCTGCCTATACCTCTGCCTTCATTTCCTCCTTTTTCCTCCCTCCCCTCCGCCTCCCTTACTTGAGCAGTAAACGGAGGAGACTGATGGGGGGGGGGGCTACCCCCTCTCTTTCTCCATCACTATTTGCCCTTCCTCAGGCAAGAGAGACACTGCCGGATAGTTTGTTAATGAACGTCGTGTTCGTTTGTCATGCTTATCAATCACAGCATGTGTAGGTGTCATTTCAACATGTCTCCTCATCTGCCATTGTTGTTGATTATGTTGTTTGTTCCCACACTGTGCGGTTGTACCTGAGTCATGGAGCAGAGATGCAGGAAAATGGGAGCTAAAGGTGAAAGCTAAAATGTGGGTGTGTTATAACAGCTTCAAATGCAGGGAAATAATATTGGAGCATTGAAAGATGGCAGTGGATCATGTTTTAACAAGTTGTATGTATTCTACCTCTTCTATGTTTTTGTCAATAAAGCAGATGGTTTAATCCTGACCATATTACGCTGTATTTCAAAGGCTTTTTAAATGGCATTAAGGTGTATTGATTTCCAAACACTGCCGTATCAAAATATCCCTAAGTAAATTGAACATGGTGAGGTTGCAGGGTTCCTTATTTTCTCTAACGCACCCTCACCGTGCTACAGCATTTACCCATCCTTTGAATGCCTGAATTTCCATATTTAGGCAATCAGAATAAAAAAACATTAACATCTCTCAGTCATACGGAGATGAGGGAATGTTTGATGCTGTGTTGGAGTGTTCATCCTGCAGCCCAGCGGGAAATAGACTTGATACCCCACCTACACCCCACCCACTCTGCCTACTCCTGTAGGAGGCCAGCTGCACTGCAAGGAACCTTTATCCCCGGATGACTGAGCCCAGTGGATGCCCACAAGATGATACTGTATGTTTTCCTGGCAGCATTAAAATGCCATAGGATGACTAACCAATTATCTGGCTCACAAATTAACACATTCTTCGACACACTCTATGCGAACATCACAGAGGGCTCAAAATATTGAAGACTTTAGTTTAACACAAAGACTGTTACGCTGCACGAACAATAACTTCATAATGCACTCAAATGGAGCAGTAAAGATGAATTGGGCACCTACATTAGCAAACACTGCAATTTCCATTTAAACATCTTTCTCTTACCTCTTCTCTAATGGTTTTCTGCTGTACTTGAGCATAATAATTGCCATATTCTTTGTGTTGAAAAGATTGTTTTATAAATTTCACTGACTCAGCATGTATTTCACAAGGTGCTGATTTAAAAAAGGAAAAGATATACTGTACAGTAGATGTATGAGCCAAGGGTCCATATATTAGATGCAGCTTTAGCGCTAACCCATTATGCTTGTTGTAAGCTAAACTCTGAGCAGGACCCATCATAACACTATTTCTTACAAAACATGTCCCATAAATTCCACATGATCCTGCCTGCAGAGGACAAAGAGAATAGCATTCCATCAAATGAAATGGCTGTGAAAACTAATGGGTTTTATCTCGCAAGTGAACAGGCCACACACCAGGTTGACTTCCATACACAGTGCATGAAATCATGTGTCGCTCTGCTGAAGGAGAGAAAGAGGCCAAGTCAGTGCGGAGCCATGAGGGAGAGATTGTCACGTTTAAAGATATGTTCTGCAGTAACGGACGAGTGTCTGAGAGCTCCTAAAACGATTCATTGCTGAATTCCTGCTCGAGTATTAATCAGATAGCTCCCGCCTGTGTGTTTGAAGAAAGAACTTGAAAAAATAAACAGTTTTCACATATATCTGCTCCCCCAGGAGCACTTAATGCGGAGACATTTGTGAAAGAAATTCAACCAATATGCAGACAAAAAAAGCATTTCCCTCCATGTATGAATACTGATTCCCGCACAATATCCCCTTCAAAAAGAATGATGAAAGCAAATATTTTATTGTTGTCTGCATAGCAGGAGCTTGTTAACAGTGGCACAGTCATGACACAGTTGTTGGAGAGCTTAAGCAAAGTGACACTGGAGACCACAGATGGAGAGCATAGTGTGGAGGACAGTGCACCCTTTTGCCCTGAAAATTTAAGCAGTCATATTGAGTTGCCATGTAAATGGATTAAAATGGAGAATCTAAGTGGGCTTTTGCACTACTGCATGGCCTAGATACAGCAGCAACATAAAGCAGTATTCAATGATTTGTGTGAATGTGTGTAACATGTAATCCTCGCATCCATAGTTTCCCTTGTGACAGATAAGCTCCTCCTCTGTCACAAAATGCTCAAAGAAAGTGGTTTAGACTTTTGTGAAAGTTGAGTTTTTAGCTGCAAGTGTAAGTGATACTTTGTGTGTGTGTGTGTGTGTGTGTGTGTGTGTGTGTGTGTGTGTGTGTGTGTGTGTGTGTGTGTGTGTGGCAAGGCTGGAAAAAAAAAACCTTTAAAGAACAACCACTGCATCACTTGAAACTGAGCTCGCGCAGTGAGAAACAGCTTCAACTCGACCAAACAGCCCAGATTCAGCTCCCCCGCTGAGGCACAGCACTGAGCTGATCACAGCTTATCTTCAATTAAGTGCTTATTTATCAAACAGAATGTTATTTATTTTTCTGTCTTACACTTCAGATCAAACGGGCAGTAATGTTTACATTACATCGATATCTTAATGCCAAACCAGCCTTTAAGCACGAATGCTGCACAGTGTGGGTGCAGCCCTCGCTACATCCTCAAATGTCTTGTTTTATCCTTAAATCCAAAGATATTCAAATTACCACCATAGAGGAGTAAGGAAACCAAGAAACACATAGAAATGAGGACTTACTTAATAGTTTATAGTTGATTAAAATAGTCTGCAGTGTATTCAAGACTTTACGATTTATCGATGAATCAGTGCTGCTCGACTTAATTTTCACAACCAAATTTATTTCTTGACTAATATGTGTCGGAAAAATGGCACATATTACTTTAATATCCTACTTCACATTAGACTGAGTTATTAACAGTATGCATCTGCAGAAACATCTCAACTACAAAATGTGACTGAGCAAGAGATCTTCTCGGTTTGACATTTAACACATGTACTTCAAAGGACGATCTAAAGTAGACAAGATGTGTTGGCTACCATCCTTCAGCATACTCACACTTTGACACACTGGACTGTTATGAATGGCACATTACTTCATCTCCCAAATGCCACCAGTGGCTCGGCCCTGAAATGAGTTGAGGTAATCAGATTGAGACTCTTGAGTTGACTCTTGAAGAAAGTCACACTGAAATGTCCTTTTTTGCTTATTCTACGATGGTCTCTAAACTTAAAACAAGGACAAAAAAAAAATGCAAAAACGGGCATTTATTTATATACCACAGGTATAATGAAAGTTTAACTCCAATCACAAAACCCTTTCAGAGCTTTGGAGCTGCCTCCATTCCAGGTTCTCCTCATTTTTTTCGGCAGTAGCTGTAACCCGTGAAAATCTGAGGCGGGTGGCGGGATAAAACATGTCATGTATGAGCATGTGGAAGTTGCATCTTGCCACAGAGACGCCTGTCCTTAATGCATGGAGAGGATTTGTCTCCATCCCCTGTCTTTTTGTCCTTGCATGCATTTTTTATTTTTTTTTAGTTTTACGTCTCCATTCTGTTAATAATACATGAATGTCCTCTTTCCCTCCCCCTCCCTCTTCCCCCCTCCTCTCCTCCCCTGTAGCAAGTATTGAACCCACCACCACTAGTGCTGTCTCAAGCCCAGGTCAGTATATGTCACCATGCTGTACACCAAAAATTAGCAAGAGGTCCGCTGCCTCAAACTAACCTCAGCTGAAATCCTCTACTCCATCCTGATTTATTTCAAATTTGGCTGGCTGCAATGCTGCTGGGTGTACAGCTTCATTGTATGTACTTTTATTTATTTCCTTTGCATTCCTTTTTTTTTTTTTTTTTTGGTTTTTTAGTTTGTATTACTTTTGGGTTCTTCAGCCTGGCTATACGTATCTCTCACAGCCTGTGTCATCCCGCCCGCCCTCGTTCCTCTCATTACAACCCCGCCTCCGCCACCATGTGGAGCAAACAGTAGTGTCATCAAAGTGGCTCTTTCACAGGCCCCTAGGTCTGACGCTTCTCATTATGCTGATGATGGCTTCTTCTCTTTCTGCCTCTCTCACCACCAACAACACCACCACCACTCTCCTCAGTGATACCTAAATGCAGTATACATCAAAGGCAGGAAGCTGCTTGGTGGCAAAGGCCCCATTGGTTTGTTGTTGCAAGATGGAATCTCTGCTGTCTTTGTACTTTCATCACTCCCTTCATGTCTCCCTCTCCATTTCTCTGTCTTAATCTTCCTATATCCCCCTCTCTCTCTCCTTTCTGTCTCTGTTCTTTTCTCTTTCTAGAACAATCAGCTGGCGTTCTGCCACCCTCTTTAACCCGATCTCCCGCTAGAGCTGTTTTGGTTGTTACACTGTCAATGTTGCCCCTTGCTCCCCCTCCCCCTACTCCTCGCCACCTCCTCGCTGTATTCTGCCGCTTCCACATTCCAGCCCAGAGTAATCCCCTCTGCCTGGTTGTCTTCTTTCCCTCTCTAATGCTTTTTCAGCAAGTGGCAGAATGTAATCTCTCATGCTGGTTATATTATTGTCGCTTAATACTGTTCACACACAGAAAACATGCAGACATGGACTGACACTAACTAAACATGCTCAAATACACGTAAAAAAACCCCACATGTCATCACCTGAGAGGACTCATATTGCAAGATGAATCAGTGCTTTTGGGTGTTTCTGTTTTTATCCCAGCACTGTGTATTGACGCCATTGTTTTCCTCCAGCATTTTATCAAGCCTCGGATTGACAAATTCTCAGCTGCACTCTCTACCTGTCTATCTGAGCCAAATATAATTATCCATGGAGATTCTATCAGATAACCAGTTTAAAATAAGCTCAGCAGTGACGAGCCATCCTGGCATGGCCCTGAACTCTCATTTGATGTTACACACGCATAACAAATGATAATTTCATGGTCCAAAGGAACACCAGTGGTTTCAATCATGAAGATAAACTCACTCAGCGATCCACTGTTCTTGTTTGTTCAAAGTTGTTTTTGGAGTTAATGTTATGATTGCACACTCACTAAGTGGCTTGGCTATGGGAATTATTTCAGATCCCTTCAAATATCTCTTTGTCCCAACTGCTGTATAAACAAGTTTAATAATTTAATAATAATCCGCTGCTGTTATTTATCTTGTGATGTGGAAGATGAAATTCTAAAATAAGGAATTAAAACGTTGTCTGACGTATGAAAATCAGGAGAAATTAAGTGGAAAAACTGATCAACCCCCGCAATGTGCAGGTCATTTTCAGCCCATTTATCAAAGGCAAATGACAAAATATATTCTAATTACACAAAGAAAACAATATTTAGAGGCGTCACACTTTCTGCGATTTTAAATGTGACCTAACTGTAACAAAAAAAGGAATTAAAAAATAATCGGTGAGGGCCACTATGTTCATTTCTAGGTTAAATAGATCCTATTTACATGATAAATAGTAGATCATTATAACTTTTACCACTTAGCACAAACACATGAATAGTTAAAAGGGCATTCAGAGAGTGCAGACCTACACCAAAGCCAATAGTCCACTATTATATGATATATTCAAGCCAGCCATTAAATAGGTCTGGATCTATTAGTCCTATATGCTTTTAATTCTTTCTTAATTAGTCAGATCCAGATCTAGCTGAACTGCATGTGTTCTACCAAAAACATGGCATGTTTGGGGAGGTAAAAAGTGTGATGAAGAGGGCGTATGTATTTAGTCAGGAAGTAGCATACTGAAATACTGTAACCTCTGTGTTCCTAACCCATAAGAAAAGCCAACTTGGTTAGAAAAAGCATTTTTGCACTTAGATTAACTTTGATTATGGAAAGTAAATGTCTCACTAAACATTTAGGTTACCATGACGCCATACTGTATATGGGTTAATGACCTCGGTTGACTGGATAACTGATATCAGTGTAGGTTTATTAATGATGATAACATGTCTTGCATTGGTTCGCACACATAAAGTAGATGGTACTCGGGTAGACCGATTAAGTCTATTAACGACTGCCCAAGTATACTGGCTGACTCTTTTTGAATCCATAAATAATCACAAGAGAGAGAGTTAGAGAGAGAAGTGCTCTGGTATGTCCCTGCTGTAAATGTAGGCATAAATTGTGTTACATCTCATGTTGAAATTAAAGCCTCTTATGACTTATTTTTCATATTTCTCTGCAGATGCTTGCTGATCATAGTGATATGCATTGCATATATGTGTGTGTTTGCAAAGAGTGTGTGTGTGTGTGTGTGTGTGTGTGTGTGTGTGTGTGTGTGTGTGTGTGCGTGTGTGTGTGTGTGTGTATAGGATATGTTAGGCTGTAACTGCGTGCTAACTCGATCGACCAGGTACAGCATCATTCTGGCATTCATAAAAGCTCCCTCCACATAACAGCCACGTTTCAGATACATTCCTTGACATTGTCTATGACCACCACAAGGCTCTTTCCTGCTACACTTAAGAGAACGAGTAGCTTGTGGAACAGGCTGCTGAAATTCAGCAGTGAACGATGAACTGTTCTTGGCTGTTGTGCGTGAATGAAGAGACGCTGAGGCTGTTGATGCCAGTACATACAGTACAAGAAGTTTAGCTCTGCTGTCAGGCTGAAACTGCATAGTCAGGATTGGAATCTATCACAGAAAGGAGGATGTTGATGGACATGATGAATATTGTCCTGAATAATCCCCTCCCACCAGCTCCAAGGTGAACTCTTATCAGATGGACAGTAAATTCAGCCGCCAGCTCCTCCCACCAAAGAGCAAGACGGTACACCTCAGGCTTTCACTTGTGCCCAGCAGACAACAGTAACAGCAACTGTGACCACGGCCTAAGCCAGCTGTGACCCCCCCCCCCACCCACTTCCACTCAGCCAGAGCTGTCACGCTCGCTGGTCTCATCTTTAACTGCTCCCACATCCTGACCCAACGGTGACTAAAATATAAAAGAATACACGCTTAAAAAAAGTATTTTTAACCATCTGCAGAACAATAACTAAACCATTGCTTAGCCTGTTAGTATTATATTCATCAGTGTTATAGTAAAGTGGTTGTATTGAAAATGAAAATGAACTAATATGAAGATTAATACAGCTCTTACATCTGAAAAAAAGCTACAACAATCGGTTAACTTAGCTAATAATAGTTAGCCTAGCCATGTTGGAAAGTAAATACATTGGATCACAATTGATTGCTATATTTTACTATAGTTATCAGATTTCAATTCGAACTTCACAAGCAATGGATAATACACATTTCTGGAGTAGCAAAGATTTTAAATGTTTCTGATCTTTAAGCTAAGCTAAGCTAACCAAATCCTGGCTTTAGCTTCATATTGTTAGTTATATTATGAGAGAGGTACCAATATTTTCTTCTCACTCTTGTCAACAAAAGTTACAAGCTTATATCTGAAAATGTAAAACACATTTGACAGTGTTTCTTATTCATTCATATTGTATAATATAATAATCTTAATATGTTACGGTTATATTATATGATAAAACAACACGGTTAAGGACTGATAGACTTTATATTTTGACATATTTACCTCCAAACACAAGGTGTCTGTAATTTATGAAGATGCTTCTTAAATGAAATGTTACCCTACATAGCCGTTCTATACCTGTATTATTTGTCATTTTGAGCTCTAACCTCTTAGAATTCCTCTCTTACCTCTTTTCTGTCAGTCAGTTTTGTTCACACTCATCATGGAAACACAGGAATAGAAACCATCTGTTGTTACTTGACAGAATATGTTATGTACAGAGCTGTCAAAGTTTATAAAGCCAATGTTTATAATGGTAATATAGCACATTTTGTTTCGATGAAAATCTTAAGCCTGATTCATCTTTTGCATATGGATTTGTATGTTTTTCAACATAAAGCACCTCAGCGGTAGCTGTGTAGCAGCTGGCTCGATGCCATGCTGTCTTACCAAAGAAATGTAGATCTGTGATAATAGCTTCTGCTCCCAGAGGCTTTCACGTCTGTTTATTCCCGCAAATCACTTGACAGTAGGAAAAAACAATGTTCTTAACACTGTTCTGAGCCCAATTTCTTGTCTTCACGAGGCTCAGTGTACAGTGCTACTGGTTCAAGGAATATTACATGCATTATACATAATCTTTGTGACTCTCTGATTCCCAGGTGTCATGTCAACTCCCAACCAAACAAGATTCAAGCAGCCTGAGTGGAGCTAAGTGGAGATGAGCGCTCCCCTTTTACCATTCATAGAACTAATTTTTCATTTTGCGTGATTAGGTCTTTTTTTTTCTGGAATCTAATACAATCATAACTTTTATGAAAAAGCTGCAATGCTGTCATCTTTGAAACCTGGCATGTGAGGCATTTATTCGACCCTCCCTCTGACCCAATATGAAGCAGTAGGAGCTGGTTAGAGGAGAATAATGTGTCTGTAAAGGTTTATTTATCTTGGTAACACTGCATTGTCATAAAATAATCCATGAGAGAGCAACCTTTAAGAAACATTAGCTAATAATCATAATGCATTGCTTTTTTTTTTAGCATTTTAGTGGGGAAACAAAGTCCAACTACTGTCTGTATCAAGATGTTACGTAACTCAAAGTCTCACCAGCTTAATGAAGACAATTTCCTGATTGATTTAGAGAGAGGATAGGTCATACATCGTTCTTCATTT